ATAGTGTACTGTAGTGTCAGGGTCAGACATGTTGCAGATTTTGGGTGAGTTTGTTGTTTCAGATGCTTTTTATCTGCAAAAACCTTGAAGAAGCCAAGAGCTCTGTGGTAGGACGAGATATTTTGGACCGAGTCCTGAATCAATTTCTACACCCTGCATAAGTGCACTAAGAAACATAAGTCATTAAAAAACTACACGTTAATCGAACTTTAATTGTTAAGCAGAGAGCCTTGTTATCCGTGGCTGGATGTAGTCGTCTTCCTTCTGCTTTACTATAATGAAATATTTGGGCATACAGGCTGTTTTTATTAGTTCACTAGATAGAGAATATGGAGTGGTTGGAGACTGAGCCATTCATTCAGTAGAGACTAATTTTAGGCACCCAAGCACATTATTTAATTAATTAGAACACATACAGGTAAACATAAAAACAGGAAAAAGAAAGCAGAACGTCTCATGTCAAAGTTTGGGTCCAGATTTCACCTCCCAGTGTGTGTTTGTTCAGTTCCATCACCAGCTCATCCCTTAGCCAATCAGAGGTATCGTATATCTGTAATATTACATGCAAATTTTTATACCAATTCTGAAATCTCATTGGCTGAGCAGTGTTTCGAGCTGTATGTACATGTTTATTGCAAACATTGTAGAAACCTTATTTAATCTAATGTTTATTTTTGTATGTGTCCAGGTTTGCACCGGAAATGATGCGACGTATTTTGCGGTCAGCCTTGACCAACTGTTAGTTAACCAAGGTTAATTACTTGCTTGTTCATTCTCTTCTTGTTACTCTTTTCTTGAGTGCCTTGCTCTCCCTTTGCTGCTGTAGCACTGAGAGTTTCCCTGTTGTGGGACTAATAAAGGATTATCTTATCTTATAAGCAGACCTGTCTTTTCAACTGGGCTGGGAAATGAGAGACCGTTCAAAGACAGGCTTTGAAAGACTGCATATTTGGTGGGTGTTTACAGTTGTCGTCCTCTCTTATTTCCTTCAGATCTTTTAAAAGAATGATTCGATGTAATGTAATGTAATGTAATGTATGTGGTGTCATGTTAACTGAACTCTTTTAAGTATTTACATCTTTTCTCAGTGTGCACTGCGTTTGGTAAATGTAGTACAGGTGTGGTCAGTTTGGTCCAGGTGTTTTGGAGTTTGCGTCTCTTTTTGAACCTGCATTAAGCTGGACTTTCTCAGCCACCGTTGTGCTTATTGAGAAGTTTTGGTTGAACTGTTTTTGCGGATGTTTTGGTTGGACAAAAACAACAGGCTATTTATGTGAATATTAAATCTTAGTGCTGAGTTGATGAAGCATCAGTTTTTTCCACTCTTCTTCTAAACTAGTAGACATGCATGCTCTAAACCCCACGTGTCAAACACAAAGCGCGCAGGCCGAGTCAGGCCTGTGACACAGTCCTATTCGGCCGGCGAAATGATTTTATTTTTCTGTACTTATTAGCCCGTTTCACCCTGAGATGCACTACAGTCCCCAGTATGCACTGCAACATACTGACTCCTGAATAAGTGTTCAGTGGCTATTTTGCTGCTGCAGTTTCAGCATGTGTTGAATGAACAGTGGTCCGTTCGGATCACTGAGAAATGTTCAGTAAAAACACAGCTGGCCCACCAATTTACTGAGGCTTTTTAATGTGGCCCTTTTAGTGGTTGAGTTTGACACCCTGATCTAAACAGATCAAAATGAGTCAGTGTGTTTTAAATATATTACGTAATCAACTGTGAACACAGTTATGAATAAGTACATTTCAGTAGCCTATGAGGAAACTCCATCAGTGCACAGTGGCTTTTTACCAGGAGATGTACTTTCTGACTAAATGAGGTTATATTTGCATGTTGGTGTTAATTTGCAATAAAATCTACTTGTAATTCACATCATCGACATTATAATAAATTCCGCAGTGTGGTTTATGAATCCGGCCCAGTTTAGTGAACCGGTTACTATTTGAATGAACTGCTTTCAGGCTAAGATGATGTGGTTGAACATAATCTGAAACTGTGTTATTAATGGTTTATTAATATTGTCTGTTTTTAGGTGTCAGCAACATAAATCACTGACGCTGATGGTCTTTCCTGATGTGGTCAAGAAGCGGCTGCGTTATGCACCAGAAAGGGAGGAGTGCGTTCCCAGAAACACAAGCCGTAGTTGACTTTCTAATTGAACCTTTGCTTTATTTTGTAACTGTAGATGAAAATGACTCATTAAAAGGTCTCATCAGTTTTGTGTTTAGTTCTGTATTTTCTCTTTCTGGCAGATGAGCTTCACTCGGACAGTCGGCTGAAAAACGTGTACTTTCCCACTTACCCCAGGCACAGTTGATCAGCCAAGACATGTTTAATAATCACCATTTTATTAGTTGACTGTTTTTATCTTGTTACTACTGAATGTATCTAAGTATATCTGAATATATGTACTGAATGTTTCAGAGTGATTCTGTAACTGTAGTGGAGTGTTACTGAATATAACATGACTACTTCATGAAAACACAGTCACTGTGAAGTCTTACTTATTGTTATACAGATAATACTAGAACTTTGTCCACAAAACCACCAGTGAACCTCCACACATCTTCTGAGTTTTATATACAATGATGAGGATGATAATGATGATGAGGATGAGGATGATGGTAAAATAATGGAAGATCTGAAATAATAAGCTTTACTGGGTCCTACTTTACCTGGATCCCTTCACCATTAATGGACTCAAAAGTAGATTGTAGCCCAAATGTTGATCTCAGAACCATCATAAAACAGTGCCTCAGTCATCAGGCAGTGAATTCATAAGCATTTCATGTAGTAACTCTGTGAGGGAGCTTTTAGAGGTGGACGTCTGGTTCCTATCAGCACCACTGTGAACAGTTCTGACTCGGTAAGTTTCTCTAGAACAGGGCGTTTCACACCAAACCACTCTGAATGATTTTATATATATCAGCCAGTAACTTATGGAGAAATTTAGAAAAGTTGGTGGAATTGTTCTTTAACTAAATGAGGGGGAGGGGGGGTGAGTCTGTGGGCGTGGCTTAATATTAAAATGAGTACGTGCAGAAATTGATAGCTGAGCAGAGAGAAATGAGTGAAATGGGCTCTACTTTATTCTATTGTAGTTGTAGTTGTAGCTGTAGTTGTTCTCTTCTCTACTCCATGACTCACTGAAACTCTCCAGCGTTTCTGTGGCGCTGCTTTAAAGAAGGTGAGGGTCTTTAATTCTGAAAGTCCACACAGAGAAACGGAGAACGCGGACACGACCGACAGACAAGAAGACGGATGTAAACTAATGTCCGGCTGTAAAGATGTCAGCTTTCTTTCTTTTGCTGAGTGAGAAAAACCCGAGCCGTTATAACTGAGGAGACCGGCCACTGGTTGAAATGGGAATGGAAAACTCGCAACGCTCAACATGGCGTCTGTTTACGGTGAAACTCCCGCCCATCAAGAAGCAGAGCCAATCAGCTTGCTGGTTGCGCTGTGAGCCCTCCCCCTTGTTGTGGCGATCAGTAGCCAGAACGAGCTGAAAAAAGATGTTTTTTTGTGCGTTACTGAGCCAAACGCTTCAAACTTCTTATGAGGTTTTGTCAGATTTTATCGTGTCTTTAAATGTGTTTTTGAAAAGGTAATTTGACCCTCAGTTTGGAGTTTTTTAGTCTCTCCCATTTTAAAGAGGGTGGATTCTGGTCTTGTACGGTTGGAACTGAACGACGAACAGTGTGAGTGCGCCCCCTGCTGTTCATCATTAACATTACCGCCGCTTCAATCAGGAGATCTTTCAGACTCTATAATTATAATGTACTGTATCCTGATCAAGAAACGTGGGTCGTTAATTCCAGGTTGTCTGTTCTGCAGCGTTTATTCACGGCGTTAGTCTGATAAGGACTCTTATTCTGAAGGAGTCAGAACAGGAAGAACTGAGTCAGTCGGAGCTGAAAAACTCCACCGTCTGAAACCTGTATATTTTCCACTGGAGTGTGTTGGATATGGGAGAGTCAGATCTCGGCTCTGGAACACTTTAGGATGGTACTAAGAGCGCAGCTGTCTACGTCTGATCATCACTAACCCACCGTCTGAGTTTGGAGAAGATCGGAGAAAGTCAACATTTTCACCCACAAATCCTCTCAGAGGGACCCCTTTGAGTTTTTTTAGAGGACATTTTTGACTTTGTCCAATCTTCTCCAAACTCACACCCAGAGTTAGGGAGACCCAGACTTAGACAGTAGTGCTCTTAGTTTAGTCTGATCTCACACCAAAGCAGAGATCAGATGATCCCATTTCTGATCCATTCCAGTCTAGTACAGATCTGAGTTTTGGACAGTAGAATTTTAAAAAGACAGATACGGCTTCAGGAGAGAGACGGGCTGCATGGAAAACTGCTGTTACAACATACAAATCCACTATTTAAAGGCTTTGCTTTGTACATTCCACTGGAAATGTATTGGAAATAGCTTAAATATAATAGAATTGGGATGTAGTCCCACCGTTAGTATCTGCATGTTATCTCCACACAAAATACACAAAACCACACAAAATACACAAAAACTGATTTTTCTGAATCTGTAATGCAGTGATTTATTTCTACCACTGGAGGGCGATGATGAGCACAGTTGTGGAGATGGAGGTACCATCGAAGGCAGCAGTGAGTTTATTAGGTGTGTCACAGGTTTTTACCAGCAGTTCAGAAGAAACAGTGGCATTTTTTGCTCGAACTGTGGAATAAAACAAAACCTCTGATTATTCCTTCAGTTTCTGGGTAAGACTTTAGTCTCCAGGCGGTTCTGAAAATACTTTTGGAGTTTGTGACAAACGAGAGTCACTGTAAATTAATCTGTTCAGATTTTGGCTTCTTGATTGCACTTAATTATGAAAGCTAACGTTTATTTGCACAACATTTTCAATATTTAATTAATTTTACGTCACAAAGTCTTTAAAACTGGCTCAGTGTTTACACCATGATAATCATCTATGTTACATGATGAGGAGGGACAGTGCAGAACTGCGCCATCTGCTGGTGGCGAGGAGGGACAGTGTAGAACTGCGCCATCTGGTGGTAATGAGGAGGGACAGTCTGGAACTGCTGGTGACGAAGAGGTCTGTGTTAATAACGGACCAATCAGCCAATGAAATGTTAACAGATCAGCCAATGAGGTGTCCTGTTAGAAGGAGAGTGACTCAAAATGGAGGAAGAAGAACAGCTCCAAGGTCAGGTAGGCTGATCAGACATTATTATGAACTGAAATGATGCTGTTATTTTGGTAAAGTGTGAAAATGTAAAGGTACAAGAACAAAACAGAAACAGTGTCTTCAGCAAGACCAGATCAGCTCAGAGCTCCGTTTACAAACCTCAGGAGGGCTTAACTGCCAATGTTTTTGACGTTAATGAGGAGAATCTTAACAAGAACACTCTCTAACTGCTAGCACACATGCTAATAATGTTAGCATCAGCTTCCTACATCACTTTTGTGAAGTGTTTACAAAGTGCTAATTGCAAAAATATCAATGGTGCTGTTCTAGTTTCCGTCCTGGTGCTCTTAGTGCTCTGTTATAGTGATTATAGTGACTTTCTTCTCACCTGAGTGATAGTTTAAGACTGTTGGAGAGAGACTGCAAACCTAAACAAAGGCAAAGACCTAAACTCGTCCACGTTTCGCTCTTCGGGGAGTTTAGTTAACCACAAATATCTGTTTAGTGCCGTGGTTCTCATGTTGGTGTTCTAGATAAAGAGGAGAGGAGTTCAGTCCTCCAAACTAGAACTGATCCACAGTCAGTTCTCCACCTGAGGGCTGTGTAAGCGAAGCTGAGTTCGCTTCAGCTGAAGGAGATCTTACGGTTTAAACTCAGCGGCGTCTCTTAAATCTAAAAGCCTTTAATTAGTAATGAACTCCACCTGCTGCTGGTGATGAGGGACAGTGTAGAACTGCGCCATCTGCTGGTGGTGAGGAGGGACAGAGCAGAACTGCGCCATCTGCTGGTGGCCTTCAAAACAGGTTGCCAGAGAAGATTTCAGGTCACCAGGACATTCAATAACATTTATTATTTTTTCATTAACTTACTCATTAAAATATATGTCAGATATCTGAGTCAAAAATCTTATAATCTTTACAAAATGATATGGAAACAACTGTAATCTTTAGAATCTCTACACTGTTGGTGCATAACGTTTATGCCAGAATTGGCCCACACATATAGACCCAAGGCAAAGCTGTACTCAACATTACAGCATCTGGCCCTATTCTGGCCTGAATGCCTAACATCTGCCCCGGAGTTGACCAACACTCATGTGTGAAAGCCACTATCAGCCCAGAACTGTCTACTGTCAGGAATTATTAGCAGAAGATTTTGCTGATTAATGTAACTGTGCTGGTGCTGCTTCACTGGAAATGTGACAGTGACATAATTTACAAGACTTTGTGTCTGTTTTGAGAAAACACTCCTAAAAGTTGTACAGCTGTCTTTTTCTGACCGTTTATGATTTGGTTGTTTGCTTGATCTTTTTATTCCCATAGAACGTTTCTGATACTTTTTAGATATTTCTAATTTACATTCCCATTTATTCATTTATTTTTATTGACAATTCTTATCCTCAGTATCTCAGGAAATTTGACCAGTAGAGAAAAATTATAGATCTCTGCTTTTGTAGCAGCTCTGTTTTTCTTTATGGTACTAATGTAGTTTTTAGGTGGTATCAGTTTTTGGCTGCTCTCTGCTCTGCTTGTTGTGTCCTGATGTTTACCTGATTAAGGTTTTTATGGTTTTTATATGAATGACAATTTATGAATATATAATCTTTAAGTAAATGACAGTATTGCTAGTAGTAAACTTTTAACATCACAATTGTTTTTATGTTGTCAACCTGCTGAGTGAATGAGGTGAATAGATTGTGTAGTAACTGATGAAATGTTGGAGGTACGTTTAACTGTTTCCACTTGCTCTGACAGCTCTGATCATGTTAACACTGTGATGCTTTCAGGAAACGGGGTCTGGATTTTGGCCTCTGGATCTTCATTCCATGCTGAAAAGTTCCTGGTTGTTGGTCTGAGTTCAGTCTGAAAGATCAGTCTGAAGCGTCATTCAGCTGGATTTTCTGCAGCACAAATAACCTTCCCAGAATGCAAGACGCCAAGAATCTCATGGACTTATTGATCTTACACACCAGTTTTGCATACATTTGCATATTGATGAGCAAGCAACCAATCAGAGAAGCCAATTAAATAAAAAAAATAAAACGAGTCTTTATAAGGCTTGTGATGTGAACGCTGTTCTCGACGACGGTGAAGACGAGAAAAAACACTAATAAACAGGTATTTCTACCACGAACGAGAAGCCTAGACACATAGAGTAAGTACCAGCATCGCAACTGGGATCAGTTTTTTCAAAAATGTGTTGTGTTTAGATCAGCGGGAGGGGAGCCGCGGCGGTGTCCACCACCCCGGCGTTCCCAAGAGGGCCGCGGTGGCGGTAGAGTAAATTTGGGCCGATGCCCCGCCCTTCAGTGTTTAAGAGGCGGTCCCTCAGCCTCACCCATAGTAGGCAGGATTTGAGACGAGCCAGTATTGGTTCAGCCCACCATCTCAAGCACAGCGCCATACGTTTTCTTATGAACAGTAGCTATTTCAGGACTAGTTCTCAAATTGATGGTAACCTCTAGTCATTTCTTAGCATGGTTATATTGTAATTTTGCAAATTTTTGAGTCACCATGAATGAGAATCCTAGGCCACCGAACCAAGATTGACCAACCAAGAAAGGAGTTTGGAGTTTGAAATTTTCAATTTAATTTGTGTTTATCATTTTCTGTTTATTTTAATGTCAGAGACACAAAGGTGTTTTTGGAGTAGTGTTTTTTTGGACTGTGTAACGGTCATGGAGATTAAACTCTAGACCATTTTACACAGATGTGCATTTGCTCTTTAACAGTTTTTAAGCATTTTAGTACCAGGCTTCACAGTGATGGTAAACACTTCTGAGGTACCATAGTATCTGTAATCTAGCAGTTCCTTATATTTTACACCGTAACATAACACTCTTACCTCAAAACCACAGATGAAAGTCTTGACAGGGTTTTTTTAAATACACCATATAAACCAGCACACTGGCTTATTTTAAGGCCATAAGCATTTTTTGACTAACCTTCAATAGTATGGTAAGAGCTAACACAGATGCATCTGATTCAGCCAATCAGGCACTTCTGAAGAAGCTAATTAGCTGCAGTGGGTGTGGCTCATTACAGGAATATCCACTCCACTGATTACTGATCTGTTTCTAGGGAGAGTGTGTAACTGCGCCATCTGCTGGTGATGAGGAAGAACAATGCGGAACTGCGCCGTCTGCTGGTGATGAGGAGGGACAGTGCGGAACTGCGCCATCTGCTGGCGATGAGGAGCAAAACAGTTTTTGACCGCTTTCATTTTTTATACTTTCAACTTGAAACGCTCATTAGCGCCCTCTAGCGGTCATTTTCGTGTCGGGCCAAAATGCAGTATTTGCGGTAACAACAACAAAAAAAGCCCAAAAGTACAAAATAAACAAATAGTTTTAAACTGAGATTTTAACATTATTGTCTAACATTACACTATATTATGTAACTGAAATGCTTAAGCAGTACTATTTGGAGTAAATATAGTAAATTACATGTACAATACAAATATAGTTCATTTTTTTCTTATCTCACTGGATGAGGGAGTGGCATAACTTTCTGGATGGCCAAATCAAAGTTTGACAGAGCCGGTTTATAAGGAGTCTGGTCTCTTCCAGTTTCGACCTTTAACTCAAAAAATATCACTGCTAAACAGCAGAGGGTGCCCAAGAGCGGGTCCTCAGTGAACGGGGGTGAACGGAGCTAAACGGCTAAAATCGAAAAGTTAAAACTGTTTCGAATCATTTACACAGAACACAGAAGAAAACCTCACCTGTACGTTTCCTTTTCTACAGCAAACAGACGCTGACATTACCGGATACTGAGCGACGACTGGTTAGCATTACTGCTACTGAGCATTTGCTATTTCCCTGAGAGCTCTCTTCCTAAAACAGGAACATGAAAAGTATAGTGTTGTTACAAGTGTTTATTGTAAGGCTAAAAGCATTCAGTCTTCATTTTTTACCATAAGAGCTCCAGAGCTGGAACTGCCTTTTGGAACCATCGCTTCCATAAATCATCCTGGCACAAGATGTGCCCAAATGTGGGTAGATGCACAACCTGGGAATCTCAAAGACAAATGTCCAAAAAAAAAAGCACTGTTCTGTAGGCCTTGTGGTTTGCTGGTATAAATCACATTTCTACAACCAGAGGGTTGTTGGTTCAAACCCCACTTTAGGGCTTTCATTTGCATGTCTTCATCAGTAAAGATGGCAAAAACAAAGACAAATGTTTAAAAAAAAGGAGGACATTTGTGAGATCCTGTGGCTCACTGGTAGATGCCCTGCCTCTACAGTCTGGAGGTTATCGGTTCGTATCCCGAGCAGGATCCTCACATCACGGTGGTGGTGAAACACACAGGGTGAAGGGTGTACAATGCATGACATGTGAGGAAGGCCGGAGGGCACAACCCAAGAACCAGGGGGGAAGGTATACCCGTCTTCCCCCCTGGGGCCCAGGAGAGAGGACAAGAGGGGGTTATGCAGAATTTTGCTGGGAAAAAAAGTTGCACTTAACCCTTTGGGTATGCAAAAATTCTACCTACTTGGACCCTCATTTTACTTAGCAAGCTGAATAAAATGCTGCCCCTTTAATTGACCTTTTCTTTTCTCCTTCTTCCCTTTCCCTCCCTCCTCCTTGGCTTGAACCCACAACCTCCCACATCTGAGGGCAAAGCTGGTCCTACTAAGCCACCAAGCTTCACACACAGCAGCCTTTTTTTGGGGGGTTTGTCTTGAAGATTCCAAGACACACAAAAAATTGGATCCTCTAACGACTCAAAGCCCATGAAGGCCAGAACGTGATTTGACATAGACTGAGATGTTCCTAATGCTTTAACAGGTGGCTGATTGCAAATGCATCCCATGGTTTTCTGACGGGATCTAGACGTGTGCTCTCTGTTGGAAACCCTGAGAAAGTAAAACCGTAAGCGACTGTTTCAGGACTGGTTCTCAGATTGATGGTAACTTCTTTTAGTCGTTCCTTGACATGGCGTTATAATAATTAAGCTAATTTTCTGAGTCACCACGAACGACGATCCTAGGGCACAGAGCCGAATTTGACCGATTGATCGCTGAGCTCCGTTTAACGGTGCGGCTTTAAATCCAACAAGTACTGATCACCTTCTGCTTGGTTTAATGTCAGAGATAGAAAAATGCTCCTAGGTTTCTGGATAATAGTCATAAACACGAAACCGTTTCAGACAGATGCTCGTTTGCAGTTTCACACTGTGTAAGTATTTTAGTGCTGGTCTTCACATTGAGGGTAAATGCTTCTAAGGCACTATGTTAATTACAACCTAGCTGTTCCTTATATATACACAACCAAAAAAAGAAGCCTTCTCATCTTTTTCTAAGAACACAGTAGTTTTATTTAAGTCTATAAGCATTTTTGATTAGTCTTCTCAATGACGGTAAGAGTTCCAGAGAAGTTTGGAACAGCATGTGAACCGTGGCCCGTAATCTAAAAGAGCCTATGTGTCTGAGCTAAACTCACGTCATCTCACTTTTTATGTATGAAACTGAAGTATATTTAGAAAGGAACCTTTTTATAGAAGAAGGTAAAAACACTCTTAACGTTGAGTATAAGCTGATGTCTGAAGTTCCAAGTATCTAGGAGTTCCCTGTGTGCTCTGTTTGCCGACAGCCTCAGCGCACTAACTCCCGCTCCAGGCCGGCAATTCAGGTGAGCGCTGTTTTTTTCGTGGAGGCTGTTGAGTGGCTGCTGTCTAGCTGCACCGTAAAGACTCGTGTGTGTGAGCGATGCTGTGTGGATGTTTGGAGTACTTCTCCGTTCTAAATTTGGGGGGTTTATAGCGTTGTGCATGCCGCAATAAAAAGGGGGAGCATAATAGTGAAAAGGAAAGCTGATGCAAAAGTGTAGAATAGCCTAATTAGTAACGATAAAGTGAGCTAAATAACACCATGCGAGATTAATGAAGGTTGGGCCCTTATCTTCGTAACGGTAAGACATGTGTATATTGGTCACTGCGTGAAAGTTGGCTTAGAGAAATAGTCAGATTAGGTTAAAAAGGGGGAACGAGAAGTGAAAAGTAAAAGCCCAGGGCCCTGGGGAATTAGATTAAAGGGAAATTGGATTAAGGGGAAATTAGCTTACTGGGAAAAAGAAGAAAGAGAATAAAAGAGGAAAGAGGTAAAGAGAATAAGAGAAGTTAAAGAAAATAGAGAAGAAAAGTGAAGAGTTAAAAAGAATAGAAAAGGATAAGAGTTAAAGAGAATAAAAGAAGTTAAAGAGAATAGTGATGATATGAGTGAAAAGAGAAATAAGAAAAGGGAACAGAATAGAGATGATATGAGTTAAAAGAGAAAAGGAGCCGCAGATTAGGACCAAAGCCCTCTGGGAGGCGGTGTTAGACGGGCCTAAAATCCTGGAAAATCACTAGGTGAATTTCTGGGTCAGTTCTAAGGAACTGGGGGTGTGGAAGGAAAGTTCAATTATAAAGTTCCCACTCGAACACTAGTTGACGAACGGTGTCTGAAGCAGCTTTTTATTGAATATTCACACCTCATAAAGGTAGCAAAAATTTAGAAGAAAAAGGGAAAAAAGGAGCGGCAGAAAAAGCATGCTATAGGATCAGTATGAATGAGTCGACTTTCAGATTGAGTGTTGTTCTTTGTCTTCTGTGTCTGTGAGAGCTCGCTGTGTGTTTCTGTGTGAGGGGAGTGGCCGCCCCTTACTGTGTGTGTGCGGACCTGGGGTTCTGTGTGTGAGTTGCTTGACTTGGCTGTGCTCCAGCTGCGTAAATGGCTTTAAGACTATATAAATGATAATTTAAAAAAAAAACATATGAGCCTCTAAAGAGGACGGTTTTTAGATGGTTAAAATATCATGAACTTTCCTGGGGGACGTTTTTAGATTTAAGATAAAGTTAAGATTTATGAGCCTCATAAAGAATAAGAGGACTTTTATAAATTAATTTAAAAGCTTCATGAGCCCCCAAGAAGGACGTTTATAAGTTTGGAGATGAGTGGAGAGACCAGTGAGGATGTTTGTGTGTGTGTGGGTGAAGAAATTGTATAAGTATGTGAGGTGTTATTAGAGTGAAATAAACAGAAATTTCTTTATTGATGATAACTGGGTATGTAAAGGAGGAGAACATTTGGTGTAGATAAGAATGACCTAAGTGTTGGCAAACAAAGGGGTGAATCATATGGGATTGCTTTTTGTGGGGTTAAAAAATACCTAGTGAGTTTATTTGATATTTAATTCTGATTGGTTTCTACGTTTATACACCTATGGGGTGTGTAAGAAGAGGAGAAGGAGAGAGAGGGAGAAAAAAAAAGAAAGGAGAAGAAACAGAAAAGAGAAGAATAACAGAAAGAGGGATAAAAAGAGAATGAGGAGAGAAGGAGAGAGAAAAGGAGAGAGAAAAAGAGAGAAAAGTGCATGTGGAGAGAGAGAGAGAGAGAGAGAGAGAGAGAGAGAGAGAGAGAGAGAGAGAGAGGAAGCAGCAGGCCAGTGCTGACACAGAGGGAGGTCTGATGATTTAGGAGGCACAGGGGTCAGCTCATGTTGCAAGGGAGAAGTTAGGAGAAAGATTACAGAGGAAGGTAGAAAAGAGAAGAGATGTTGAAGGGTCAAGAGAGCCAGAAGAAAGGGAACACAGACACCTGGTATGACAACTTTAAAGAAGGAGTAAATACAACTCAGAAACCTAAGCTAAAGATAGAGCTTAGTGTGAATAGTAGTGAGGAGATTTTGGAACCTAGAGAACAGAAGGAGGAAGAGCATGATGCAGATTCATCTGTGACAGCTCAGAGGACTATTTTAGATGTGGAAGAGGGGTTTTTGACTTCGACTGGACACCAGAGGACATGACTGACTAGTAGGGTGTATTACAGAAGAGAGAAACTAAGTGGAAGGCATATGGATTTGATTTCTAGGGGTTACAAATCGCAGACCCAAGGTCAGACAAAAACAATCTAAAAGAGTTGAGGCAAAAACGAGTGAGTCAAAATACAGATGAATAGTCAAAAAGGGGGAAAACACAACACAGGAAATAAAAGTTCAGTAGCTCTAGAAAGAAGCAATACTTTGCACTGAACTGTTCTAAAAGCCCAGGTTTATACTGAAGCTGGTGAGAGGTCACAGGTGTAATAGATCAGTACTCAGGAGTCATGTGATCTCCCAGAGGATTCTGGAAGATGGAGTCCAGGGAATCCTCTGAGCCATAGGGATGCATGACAATCAGTAGGAAAAAATGATAACAGTGATCCCTGATCTGTTGGAAGGAAACAAGGGGGGTTTGTGGTGATAAGGCATATATATGTCTACCGTATGGGTGGATAGGATGCTGTTATATGGCAATGTTGAAGCTGCCGTATGAGGTTTTTACTGTCCAGAAGGGAAAAGTTTCTGATGAGGTTCAATCAGAGGCTATTTCTGGAAGTAGGAAGAAAAGGGAACTAGCACAATTTCATAATCTGGAGTCCTATCATTGGAGGATAAGTCTAGGAGAGAAGGATTATTTCCATGGTATGGTGTGACACTGATAATATTACCTACACCCTACAGGGTTTTGCAAATGAGACTATAAGAGGTTTTGAATACTTGTCAAATACACAAAAGAGTCACAGACTGACGTTGCTGAAACATGACATGGCTCTTGATTATCTTTTGGCCAAACAAGGGGGCTTATGTGTGGCTCTGAACTTAACTGATGATGCTTGTTATACTTTGATTCCTGAGAGTACTGATAAGATGACTAGTGTCATAGATGCATTGAAGCATATAAGGGGGGTGTTTGGCCCATCGGAAGGAGCTGGAGGGCCGGCGAATGCTTGGTTGCAGGAGAAATTAGGACCATTGGGAGCAGCGTTGGTTCAGATTAGGTTGCAGTCCTTATATCATTGAGTGTGATGTTCTGTTGCTGTACATTGGTGTTAACTTTTGCAAAGGCAATGATATTGAGAGGGGTTGGAGTTGTGATGCCTGGAGATCAAGTTCAGATGCCATTATTACATAGGACTGACACAGACGATGACGAAGAAGTGGTGATAGAAGGTGAACTGATGGAGAAATATCCATTCTGAATATCTATTCTTATTATAATCCTAACATTTATTTCTTTTACTATTTAGGGTATTTAGTAGTCTCTTACTATAGAGTGGGATGATAGCAGGGGGAAATGAAAAAGGGGATTTATAACTCGGAATAAGGTGAAAGTATGATACTGTGAATTTCACATTTACTTATAAGGTGTT